ACTGTCTTTTCAGAGAAAATGCAGTGTTTACATTACAGCCTAGCGATACCTCCACTGTCCACTCCTCAGACGGCTACTATGGGGCAGTGTTGCACAGCATACAGCACTGACGTTCAGCGTCTCCACGTTCTTCATGGAGACACTGAACTTTCCATATAGAAATGCATTGATTCAAAAAAAAAAAAATTTAAAAAAAAATTACAATTATGTAAATTTACACTATTATTATTTATTAATTTAGTGTTTATAAATAAATTTGGAAATGAAAACCTTTAGATGGTATACATTGTCATTTATCTTGTCTGAAATGCTAGTAAAAAAGCAAAAATAAATTTTTTCTCACATACAGTACATGTAAAAAAAAAAAGGTAAAATAGACTCTTTATATTACATAGTTCTTTTGTTCTAATAGAGATTCATTACTATATACATGAAGATGGTAAGGGTAGAGTCCTCATGACAACATTTTATATACAAATCAAAAACAAAAGTAATAGATGCACAAACAATATTGGAGATAGCAGTGATAATCAGAACGTTAAAAAAAAAATTCAAATCGCCCACCAACAGGAGCACAATGGTATAGTAAGTATGTGAGTAAGAAATTTGTACAACCAAAGTGAAAACCACATTGTGATAGAATGGGAGTAGTTATGTAACAAACAAATATATACTTGCACTCTTCCTTATTAGTAGGTTTAATTGATCTAGAATATATAAGAATAAAACACAGGCCTTGTTCAATATTGTAAAAATACAGTCTGTTATGTGGTACTCTGTAAGAATTGAACTCACAATTGTGGAGTGGTTGTAGTAGCACTCCAAACTATCAGGCACATTAAGGACCAGACCCTTGTGTACGTTGGATCCAAACGTGGATAATCACACAAACTCACCATCAGCCGAAGGCGTGAAGTAAAATACTTTATTCACAAAGAAACATATGTAAAAGTAAAAAAAGGATAGTTCTCACTGTACTTGAGTAGATCAAAGTCCTGGGTATTAGTAGATAAACAGTCCGAGTTCCGTCTCGCTGTATCCCCCAGATGATCGCAGACTCTCTGTACACGTGTAGATACTTGCGGGTTCCGTGTGCTACGCGTTTCGCCCTGCCTCTCAGGACTTTCTCAAGCATAAGGTGAGTTCTCCTGTGGCCGTCCTTTATACGATGGCAGAAAATGAATGATGTCCACCCACTTCTAGCATCAAATTGCACATGGCACAGTCCATGAAAGCAGCAACATATTGTAAATCTCTTGAGCAGAACTTAAAAACAGATATGTAATTTCAAACACTATAATGTGAAAACCATCATACAAGACATCTGCCAGTGCATAATACTATACCAAGAAACCTAATAAAAAAAAACTATTAAAAAAGGGGGCATTTCATCTAACTCGCCCAAAAAACATAAAAATATCTTACACCATAATTTTAAAAAAATGCCAATTCCAAAGTGTTGCATCACACACCTAATGTGACAAATCAAACCTTTATCTTATGTACCTTCAGTCTCTAGGGTACAAAGAAAATAAACGTATATTTTAAAAACCTTATAGATATATTAAAAATAACATGGGAGCATAAATACCAAACATACTCTTCCCAAATTAATACATTATCAGAACTATATTCTTAAAAAATAAAGACGTAGGAATAGTCAAATGTAAAATACCCCTAAAGCTAAAAAATTGAAAAGAGAGCATATTGTCTAAACTGCTAAAAACCTTCAAAGAGGAATAATATATAACATCCTCCTAAAAAGGGGTGCTGAATAATATAATATAAAATATAAAAATTAATATAAAACACTATCAAAAGGGTAAATATGAAGGCCCTAATTGCTGTCATGGAAAATATATATATATTTCTTTATATAAAACGTTTAATAGATCGAAGTCTATACTGAGCCCCGCAGGGGCTAAGGTTTCCAAAAAAAATAAAAAATTAATTTCTTACTGGTCAATTTTTCGAATGAAATCCTCGCCCTCTCCAATCTTTAAAACTTTTTTTAATACCTATGAATTCTAAACCTGTGGAATCCTGATTATGTGCATGTTTAAAATGATCAGAAATGCTGTGACTAACAACACCTTTGCATATATTATACACACGCTCACGTATACTTTTGTATAATGGACGTGTTGTTCTCCAAATTTGTACTGCAATTTGCAGTGGCACTGTAACATATATATGACATCGTTGCTCTGGCATGTAATATGTTCCCTAATATCATGCTCTTTTTTTGTCCTCACCAATAGGAATTTATGGTGTGTCTTTCTGTACCCTAAACAAGTTTTGCATCTATAGAAACCTGTAAGTTCTCCAAAACAGTTACTAATAACATGTTTAGGTTTTTCCGTAAGGTAGCTATTTACTAAAGAGTTTTTAAAGCTTGGTGCCCCCGTAAACGTAATATGTGGTCTTTCAGGCAATACGTCACCTAGATCTTTATCTGCTTTTAGAATGGGCCAGGATGTATTTATTGTAGGTCTTATGGACTTATGTTGAGCATTATAGTTGAACACTAATACATCCTTAAGGGTGGTCTGTATCCTGGAGTTGTTTTTATTTAGTAGTTCTAATTGCATTTTATTTCTAGCTTCATTCCAAGCCTTATCCAGAATGTCCTGTGGGCAATCCTTCTCTCTAAATTTTTCTCATAAACTCTGAGCTTGTATTTCAAAGGCACTTTCTTCTGTGCAATTCAGTCTTAATCTAAGTAGCTGCCCCTTCAGAATATTATTAAGCCACGGGGAGCAATGGCCACTGCTACATGTGACATAACCATTTGCATCCACTTTCTTAAAAAACTTCATTGTGTTCAAGGATTCTCCTTCCACATAAATTTTTAAATCCAAAAAAATAAATTTCAAAGGGACTAATATTGTTAGTAAACTGTGTGCCCCAATCATTATTATTGAAGAACTTAAAACATTCTTTAAAACTCTCTTCTGTACCTTCCCAAATTAAAAACATAACATCTATGTAACAATGAGAGGCATAACTAGGTGCACATGTACTGCCCATCGCCATTCCAGGATGCACTGTAGGAAGAAGGCAGGGCAGCAGAGGCAGAGTTATGATTATTTAGCATTAGCAATCCTATGAAATAGTCTTTATAGTGATTGATTGTATTTCACGGGACACTATAGGCAGCAAAAGAACATAAAAACAATCACAATAATACAGTGATACCTCACAGCCTCTGTAACACACTGGGAACAAACAAATATAAATACAACAAACCCACCTGTGACAAAAGTGAATTGTGAAAAAAATATATATTAAAAAAACAACCTATAGGTACACAGCCTCCCAAGGTTACCTCCCAGATGGTAACCGACAAAAATGGATGTATACAACACAGAAAATTTAGGGATCCTGCTGGTGTAACTAAAAACAAGGATATAACATTGTGCAACATTGCCTGTAACGTACAAAAACAGATTTTTCCAATTGCACTCACAAATTTGAGATGATAAAAAGGACTTATGGGTGCCACCTTTGATGTCAATAGGAGGCTTCTTCGTACTTGCCAGCAGACAAACTGACAGATATTTCAGCAACTCAATACCAATCCAGAAGTGTTTTCCAAAAGGATGTTTATTGGCATATACAGGCTGTCAGGTTTCACTGTATTATTGTGATTGCTTTTATGTATATGGGTCCCTGATGAAGTTCTCAGATGAGAACAAAACGCGTAGGACCTGTTTTTTTTTTTTTTTTGGCACGTGTGTGCCTTTTACCTCTTTTAAACTTTATATGCCAATAAACATTGTTTTGAAAAACACCTCTGTATTGGTAATGAGTTGTCAGTTTGTACGGTGGCAAGTATGAATCAGTTTTCGATTAGTGGATAGTCTATAAATCTCTTCTATTATGTCAAATTATCAGTGACAGTTGTATATTTCCATGCAGATTGTTGCCCATATATTTCCAGTTTGAGTTAAAAATAATGTGCGGAAAAGTTTAGACAATGACACATACAATACTTTATGACATGATAAAGAAATTCGAAACATACTTGCTGGAGATGTTTTAAGAGGTAAAAATAATTACAACAAATAGTGCAACTTTTGTTACAAAATTAAATTAAGCAGATGGAAAACACAAGATTACATATACAGGCTCTTATATCATAACATTTTTGCCATGACATCAGCCTCTAAGGGACAGATTAATTTACAGCCATGCCAGGAGTACACTAAGATGCAAACATAGCACGGTGAGACAAATGCTAGAATGTTCTGTAAAAACTAAAAGGAGCAGAACATTTGTGTCAGCTACGCTGAAAAAAGTTTGGAGCAAGCATTTGAATGTTATTTTTGGTATTTTGTAAGCAATATAATAATGATTTAAAGGGACACTATAGACACCCAGACCACTTCAGCTTATAAGAGCTATAGTGCCAGGAATGCAGTTTGTTTTCCTGTCGCTTATAGTATCCCTTTAATAATTGTATTTGCACTAAAAGTTTAAACCATACAAAAGCCTGAAAAAAATAATATATTGCTGCATTTTATTCTGGAACAAAACTCAAGCAAGCTTATCATGCGTGACTCCCTCTTCACCTGCCAAATTCCCTTGATACGCAGTATGTTTAACTTATTGATTTTTACACATTTTACATGTTCAGACGAACACAGTTAAGAAATTATTCATCCAAATATGCCCAGTCACACAGTAGTTGAAAACATTGCAATGTTTATTGGAACAAAGTGAGCACACAACATTTTAATCTCACCATGAGATTATGCGAGCCAACTCACTAACCCGCAGACAAACTTTACGAAGGGTAACAAAGTGACACAAGTGTAAATAATAATTATCAAGGGCAAATAATGTTTCACTTATAGTAACCTCTGAACAGAATAGGCGCCCACCAATTCGACATGCTTCAAAAGTGAGAAAACATCCACACAGAGACCAACATCAAAGCGTATCCCCCTTACCTGGAAGGTGTCTCCGTGGAGAATAAACGCATCTCCGTAGCAATGCTAGCAAGAGTGAAGGAGCAAGTATTTAAAATAAGGCATTAGATAGCTAAAAACAGAAACATTGAATGTGACGGCAGATAAAAACCATCCTGCCCAATTTTCTAAATATTTCATCTTATAGTTAGGATAGCCTTATGCATATCCCATGCATGCTTAAACTCCCTCACTGTGTTATCCTCTACCACTTCAGCTGGAAGGCTATTCCATGCATCCACTACCCTCTCTGTAAAATAATACTTCCTGATATTTTTAAACCTTTGCCCCTCTAATTTAAGACTATGTCCTCTTGTTGTGATAGTTTTTCTTCTTTTAAATACAGTCTCCTCCTTTACTGATTACATTATTTTAATGTTTCTATCACATCCCTCCTGTCTCAAATTTCCTCCGATCTATATATGTTATGATCTTTCAACCTTTCCTAATAAGTTTATGATGAAGACCGCAGATGGTATTCTAGCCAACATAATAGCATTTAAAAAAAAAAAAGCAACCACCATATTTAAAAAAAAACTGACCAGTAGTAGAAGTAATGATATAGTTACACAGGTTACACCATAGCCTATATTCCAAAATTGATCATAATCATGCATCATAAATTGATCATATCATAATTGATCCTAAAAATGCAGAAAATAGAGTGCATTTATAATCACTCCAATAAGCTGATACATTATCATGATAAACACAATAATTTTGATAGATTATTAAGTAACCAAGTAAAATATATTCTCTCTCATTTTCAGTCAATATGTACAATTTTTAGATGTATTTTATCAGATTGACTAATTAGATCCTCATTGTTACATAAAGAATAATAAATATTACATATTTACAGGTGAGATACATACTATATTCTAAATTGATACAACTGCGTAAGAGCTGGCGCTGAGATAAACTCCAGCAAAAGTGCTAAAAGTTAAAACAAAATAACAATTAAAGAGAAAACATGCAGAGAAATAATATAAAATACCGTACATATACAGTACACAGATAAACAGATCTGGAATAAATGAATAATCACAAACTAAAGTGCTTAATGTCAATGACAGTGCAAATTTTTTTATAAAAACTGCACAATAAATGTTAAAGTACAAAAGAGGACAAATCATGCAATACATTGATTATTTTCAACAATACCAGTAATTGAGGCTCCACACGCTATACAATAAAGAGCTAATGATAGCAACAGCAAAACAATAACTATTGAGCAAAAGTCATCAGCAAAATGAAGCTAATCCAATGTCCACAGTATCTATTAAAAAATTAACTTGCAACGAAGTGAAGGGGGGAAAAAAACAAGACAGCACCAATATGTCAAAGAGAAGATCTGTGAAAAGAGAATAAAAAATGTAATCAGTCAGAGAGTATGTATGTGTCGAGTATTTAATAAAGTAACTGAAAACAAACATATTTAGATAAGTGCTGTCACGTTGTATTCATAATTTAGTCCCTTCGGACACAAGGTATCCAGATGTCTTATCCAAAAAAGTCACGTAACAGAATCCTCTTGATTCAGTCCCCTCTTCTCACTGATTCGGGAATACACTCGATCACCTGAAATTTCAATTAGGAAACATTGTGTCTAAATTCAATAAAGTGTGTCAGAACCTGTAGGTCAGATAACTCAGTTCTATTAGTGGATATGTGCTTCGAAAATCTCTCTTTCATTTTTTGTGTGGTTTGACCCACATACAAAAGGCCAGAAGTGCACTTTTAAGATGTAAGCAACAAAAGAAGAATTGCAAGGGTGATGGAAAGCCACCACAATTCATAGAATGACATGAATTGCAGTTATAACAAGGATAGCTTCCTTTCCTTACTGAAACTTACATGTCACTATTTACAGTAGTAGGTATATCCTCCTTAACCAGCTTGTCTCCCAGGGATGGACATCACTTATACACCATCATAGGTTTAGATGCAAATTCAGGGATCTCAGCGTGACACTCTGAAGGAACATGCCAGTGGTCAATCTTCTGTATCTCTCAACTTTTTGGGAGTCAAAAGTTCATCCCTCCAGGGCCGGTTTTACATGTCAGGTGCCTATAGGCACATCATTCTAAAGCGCCCTCTTCTCCGCAACCTCAAAATAAGGCAGATCAAGTTAGTGTAATGAACTTACTGATTGAACATTGCAGGCCTAATAACATCTAAAAACATATTCATATGTGGCAAATGCTTATGTATAAAGGTATGTATGTAGTTCTGCTCGGTTCCTAATGTATTGTGTTTGAATCTATGAGTACAGTAGGTGTAGGCTGTTATGTATATGCATGTAGGTCAAAATAATGTTAGAAGCTTAGTATGCACGAACATGATGAGAAGCCTCTAATTGGCTATTTCCTCGTGAAGAAGCTGAGAGTCTGCATCCCTTCCAATGTTTATAAGCTCTCTGATAGCTTGGTACCAAATTAGGGACTTATCTACTAAGCAGCTGAAAAAGCAAAATTAGCTATTAATTCAAGGGACACTCCAGACTCCTAAAGCACTTTAGCTTGCTGAAGTGCTTTATGCGTGGAGTGTGTTCTCTTTTTTTCATCTTGCAAAGAGTAAAGAATTCAATAGATATTGATACATTTATAAATTAACCTTGTAGCACCTCCTCACCCGCTCCCAGCTGTTAGCAAACAACCTGCTACTTCCTGGTTTGGTTAGCTCAGTGGAGCTAAATTCAAAAGGCAGCAGTTACCCAGAGCACCCGCCTTGCAAAGACTTCTCATTGAGCTGCATTGGGAAGTCCCTGATTGGACAGTCACAGAAAGTCTGCTACAGGCTAGAAAGGGAATGGCTTCATGCAGGAGATCTGCAGCTTTTTTTTTTGAATATTTAATCTTTATTTTAAATTTTTTTCTTTTAAATCTCATTAAATACATATATCATACAAATACAAATATCATACAAATATACATTTATAATACAAAAAAAAAACAACACAGCAGCAAAATAGGGGAGGGAGAAGAAAAATACATCAAAAAGACTTCCATAGTAGAGTGGTAATATCATTTAGATAAGTCTCATAATTATTTACAATGTTCATGGAATTATTCTACTACTAATTGAGCGACATTATTTTATACATCAATCATCTCAATACACTTTGACCAAACAGAAATCTTATTGCTTAATCTTTGTTTACTTAGCATCAGCTCCATTCTAATCTGAAACTCGAGTTGAATTTTAACTTTCTTCCAGGGGACTTCTGAATCCCTTTTCCACCATCTCGCAATTACTATTTTAGCCGCTAAAAACAGATGTATGAGAATTGCTTTTAATTCATATGTCATATGAGGCCAATTTAGATGAAGTAGAACTACCTCTGGAGAAATTATCAACTCGAGTTTTAAATTGTTAGATATAAAATGCTGCATTTTCAACCAGAGATTTTTTAATTTATAGCAATCCCACCAAATATGTCTAAAATTGCCTCTAATACTATTGCATCTCCAACAGATAGGATTTACTAGAGGGTAAATTTTATTCAATTTAGCTGGTACTAAGTACCACCTATTTAAAACTTTAAAGTGCGTTTCTAATAAATTTAATGAATGTATATTCTTCTTAACATCCATCATTGAAGAACCCCATTGATTCAGATTTATATCGATATTCAAGTCTTGTTTCCAAGCCTGTATGGCAGTAGGATTTGTGTCTTTAGCTATTGATTTAATTAGTATTAGAGCTTTGGAAAGTGGTTTATTGACTTTTTTTGATGTAAATAATAAATCTATCGAATTGCTTAGATTAGATTTTGGTATTATAAGATGTATATTAATATAGCTTTTAAGTCTTAGAAAATTAAACACCTCTCTAGGAGGGAGATTATGTATCTCTGTTATTTGAGCAAAGGTTTTAATTGATCCTTCTGTCAATAATTGGTCCAGAGTCGTTATCCCTACTTTTTTCCAATTATTTAAGTTTAAATCTTCCACTTGTTTTTCTACAATGTCTAACTCTAAATAACTTGGAACTTTTTTTTTCTATATTCATTACTTTTTTAATTTTTAACCAATTTTCCAATAATTGAGTTAGAATAATACTGGCATACTCTTTTTTCTTTGACATTTTATTTATATTCCAAATTAAACAATCTAAGCTAGAAACTTCTCCTGCCTTCAATTCCATTTTATACCATCCCTCATCTTTATTTTCTTTCATTTGCATTCTATAAACATGTAGAATAATAGCTGCTTTAAAGTTATTCATTATGAGTGGATAGTCAAGTCCACCTTTATATATTTTCTGGACTAATATTGACTGTTTCAATCTCGGCTTCTTGCCTTTCCAGATGTATTGAGTAAAACTTCTTTGTATTAATTGAAGCCAATGGATTGGAATATGGAGAGGTAACATTTGAAACATATAATTCCACTTTGGTATAACGTATGAATTGATAACATTTATTCGCCCCCAAAAAGTAATCTCTAGGTTTCTACGATCTTTTAACCATTTATTGAGATCTAATAATAATGTTAGGAAATTTGCTTCCATGATCTTATTTGTCTCTCTGGTTATTTTAATTCCTAAGTAATCCATACTTTCTTTAACCCAAATAAAATCATATTTGTTTTTAATCTCTTGTTGTATCTTTTTATTTAGGTTAACATCTAATATCAAAGATTTATTTGTATTTAACTTATAATTTGATATAAGGCTGTATCGCTCTATTTCTTGCATTATGCGTTCTAAAGAATTTTTAGGGTTTGTAAGAGTAATTAAAATGTCATCAGCATATAAGCTAATTTTTTGGTCCTCATCCATTATTTTATAACCATGGATCTCTTTATTATTCCTAATGTTCTCAGCCAATGGCTCGATAGTCAGCAAGTAGAGCAATGGTGAAAGGGGACAACCCTGTCGGGTACCATTTCTAAGTTGAAACCATGGGGCGACAATATTAGGTCCAATAGTTCGTGCAACAGGATTTACGTATAGTGCCATTATAGCTTTCTTAATCCAGCCTTCCAATCCATAATGTTGTAAAACGGCTTCTAAATATTTCCAGCTGACTCTGTCGAATGCTTTTTCAGCATCAATCGACAGAGTCAGAACTGGAACATCATATCTATTTGCGTCATCCAAGATATTAATAATTTTCCTTATACTTGTATAGGAATTTCTACCTGGAACATATCCTATTTGATCTTTGTGGATGATTAGTGGAAGGAGTTTTTTTATTCTGGCAGCCAAAACCGAAGCGTATACCTTAGTGTCAACATCTATTAAAGATATCGGACGATAGTTTTTGATATCAGTGGGGTTTTTATCGTTTTTTAGAATAGGCAAGATATTAGCTTTAAGCATCTCTGCTGGTAAAAATCCTCTGTTTGCCGCTATGTTGAAAGCAGAGGTCAAATGTGGGCATATTAAATCTTTAAATGTTTTATAAAATAGGTTGCTAAACCCATCCGGGCCTGGTGTTTTAGATCTTTCTAAATCATTTATTGCTTTCATAGTCTCCTGCATAGTTATATGTTTATTTAAGAAATCATTTTCAATAGAAGTTAATTGAGGCTTCTTTATATTATTTAAATAGTTTTTAATATCCTCATCTGTGTTAATCTGAGGAATATTATATAGATTGGCATAGTATTCATTAAAACACTTTCCAATCTCTCTAGGGGTTAGTGCTATTTTTCCATTCTGTATTATTTTGTCTACCTTATTTTGTCCTTTTTGTTTTCTAAGTTTTTGGGATAGCATCTTTTCAGCTCGATTACCTTTGGAGTAATATTTAAGTTTTAATCTATCCATATTTTTAGCTATCGTATCCATTAATTTTTGCTTTATTTTTTCTTTAAGTTCTAATATTTTTTCATAAATTTCAGGAGATGGAGATTGTTTATTGATATGAGTCAAATCTCTTAATTTTGTGTGTAAAAATGCCAGAGTATTATTTTTGTCAAGTTGGCTTTGTAACTTGATAATATGGCCTCTTATAACGGCCTTAAAGGCACACCACAAAATAGATGAATCAATATTTTCTGAGATATTTTCTTTAAAATAATTTTTTATATTATCTCTTATATGAGTTTTTTTAATTCACAACAAAGCAAATTATCTCTTAACCGCCAAGTATAGGCTTCTCTTTTAAATGTACTAAAAATCATTTCACAAAAAACTCCATTGTGGTCTGTCCAAACTATCTCGTCAATCTTTGTTTTTTTGGTCATATCAATAATACTTGGGTCGACCCAAATCATGTCCAATCTTGAATAGGAAAAATGCACTTTAGAAAAATGCGTATAGTCTCTCTCATTAGGATTAAAAATTCTCCAAATATCGAATAAATTATATTCATCTTTAATTTTTTTTAAGGCTTTTGCTTGTTTTATAACCATCTGATTTAAAGTATTTCCTTTCATTAATTTTTTATCTATCTGAGGGTCTAATACAGCATTAAAATCCCCTGCCAATATTAACTTTCCCACTTTAACTTCATCTACTTTTTCCAAAATTGTTTTTAAGTAAGCAACTGGTAAATGATTAGGAAGATATATATTACATAATGTAAAAAGTACAGAGTCAATTTTGCATATTATTATTAAATACCTGCCTTTAGTATCTTGTATTTGATGGATTACTTCAACTTTAATCTTTTCTCCAAATACCACAGCTACTCCACATTTTTTTTTCCTTATTGGAAGCTTGAATTATAAGTGGAAATCTTTTACCCCCCCAATTTTGTTTATCCACTTGTCTCCAGTGAGTTTCTTGTAAGAATATTAAATTCAATTGTTTTTCACTGAGGTATTTATACAATAGATTTCTTTTCGCTATAGTATTCAATCCCTGAACATTAAGTGTAAACATTTTTATCATATTATCTTCAAAAACCTCCCTGCATCCCTTTCCACTCGATAACCGTTACCCTTCCCTATTGCTGCATAAACATATCTGCACAAACACACAAAACAAAATATTAAAATCATAGGAGGAAATCCTCCTTTTTTATCACAAAGACTGTAAATTTTCATATAGAAATTCAGTCTTTACTGTGTCTTTAAATTAGACACTAAATGGGCGTATCCAGAAAGAGGTAGTAATATTTACAAATTTGCAATCCCTCTCCAAGAGGGAGAGAAAAAAAAAAAAAAAAAACTCTTTTATACTTAACTCCATTAACTTTCAATTCTGTATCTTAAGTGAATCTATATCTTCTTATCTTACCAATACATATGAATAATTTACTTTTAGCCACCTCTTTAGATTAGAAACTGATTAATACTTAAACATATTTGCTTTTATCTACTTTTTTCCACATAATTAGTTAGTACCCTTAAGGTGAGAACAACCAACAATTACATCAATAAACCTATTAATTATTCATAAAAAAAAAAAAAAAAAATTTCTTCCATTATTTTATACTTAGCTTCATTGCTCTGTGATTCTTTACTTTAAATAAATCTATTTCTATTTAACTTACTAATACCTGTGAATAATTTTCTTTTAACCACCTCGTTAAGTACAAATCTGATTAATATTAATACTTAGACATGTTTACTTTTAAGTCCTTATGTTCCACATGCTTACATGCATATACCTAATTATTTAGTACCCTTAAAGTGAGAACAGTCACCAATAACATCAACAGATTAGCAAATTGTGCAATGCGCAATTAAGTAGTTCTATATAAGTGAGGACAACAAAAAAAAAAAAAAAAATTTCTTCCATTATTTTATACTTAAATCAGTTACTCTGTAATTCTTTACTTTAAATAAATCTATTTCTACTTAACTTACTAATACATGTGAATAATTTTCTTTTAACCACCTCGTTAAGTTCAAATCTAATTAATATTAATACTTAGACATATTTGCTTTTAAATCCTTATGTTCCACATGCTTATGTGCATATACTTAATTCTCAATTGACTAGTAGCCTTAAAGTGAAAACAGTCCCCAATAACATCAACAGATTAGCAAATTGTGCAAAGCACAATTAAGTGATTCTATATGAGTGAAAACAACAAAAAAAAAAAAAGTTAGTTTTTTTTTTTTTTCATTCCTTCCTCTCTCTTCTCCTCTCTTCTCTCTTCCTTCCATCTTCCTCTCCGCCGCAACAGACCCTTCAAGCTTTTTTATTGATACCTGTTAACCAACTATTTGCTTCATTTGCATCCAAAAAAATTTTTCTTTCTTGTTTCCAAGTAAATCTTAAAGATGTTGGATAGGCCCATTGAAATCTGATCTCTGCTTTTCTTAAAAAATCCGTCACGATAGAGAAAGATTTCCTCCAAGTCCTGGTGTAATAGGATAAGTCTTGCAAAAAAATTATGTCTTTGTAAATAGAATTTATTCGGGGTTTAATACGGCTGGCTTTCATTAAATTATTTCTCAATGATAATGAGGAAAAACTCACTATTACATCTCTTGGGAGATGTGAGGCTGTTGTATCTGGTTTATGTATTCGGTGAAAATTTTCTATTTTATGTTCATCTGTAGGTATTTCTGGTAAGACTTCTTCAAATAAATTATTTAAATATTCTCTCAGTTTTTCATTGGAGATTTCTTCAGAAACACCTCTTATTCTGATGTTTCTTTTTCTTGATCTATCTTCCAAAGCTGCTATTTTATTTTCAAGATTATCAACTTTATTTACTAGAAACTGCACCTCCGTATTAATTACTTTAATTTGAGTTCCAAACACTTCACATTTTTTTTCCACTTCCACCACTGATACTGCAACATTTTTAAGTTCTTGTTTTATCTCATTGAAACTTACAAGCATTTCTTGTTTCAATATATTTAATTGTAATTCCAACATTTGCTTAAATTGATCTTGGATATTGATTGAAGCAATTGCTTGAGCTTCTGATGGAAATTGGTTAAGTGGAACTTCTTGGATAATATTGGAAGTATTACTTGGGTGTGTCTTACTATCAATTATCTGTTCCTGCAGATCTTTAATAGGAGTAGCAAAAAAACCTGACAACCTCTTTTCTGTTTGTTGAACTGACTTAATTTCTTTCTTTTTTTCTGTTGTTTTCCTGGTTGACATTTTGTTTTATTTCTTAAGTGCTTCTCAGTAGCAAATTATAGCTGGGTATCACATATAAAGTTTTAACTTTGAACTTAAAGAATTAGATTAAATCAATTGATCAAATAATCAGATACTTAATGCCAGTCTCCTCCAACGAAAAAAAGATTTCCTTCCACTTTTCTTTTTTCCAAGCCAGTAATTATATACAGGTATGATGCCTTACAGTAATGTTTTAGTAAATACAGAAGTACTCACAGTTTTTATATAAAGCTTTATATAAAGCTGTTTGGGAGATCACTGATGGATGTATTTTCCTCCTTTTCCCTTTATTTCTCTCTTATTCTTTCTTTCTTTATTTCTCTTTTTCTTTTTTCTTCTTTTTTTCGTTTTTTGTTTAGTATTTTATACAGGAACTGTTTTTATTTCTTCCTTGACCTTTTTAACGGTCTATGAGGGAACCGCCACTATTTGTCCAAACGGAGGCAACAAACCCCCAGCAAAAACCGGCATACACCACCACTCCAAACCGGGTCCACCGACCCACCGAATCCTCACCAAGCCCTCCCTCCACTTCGTCCACTTCGATCTTCACCAAGCCGGACCACGCTCACAAAACGGCACGGAGCGGCATTGCTTGCTCTCGTCTCCGCGTCCTCTCTCCTCAACCTCCCTCCGGACACGCCCACCTAAAGCACGTGCGGCGTCTCACGTCATCACGTCCCCTACGAGATCTGCAGCTTTTTAACCCCTTAAGGACCAAACTTCTGGAATAAAAGGGAATCATGACTTGTCACACATGTCGTGTGTCCTTAAGGGGTTAAAGCTCTTTTTACATAGGCCTCCACTTAAAAGAATGTTTAATTAAACAATGCCCATTTTCATTGAGGGTATATTTACTAAACAATAATTTTATCTCTGATATTTGGGCAGTGGAGTGTCTATTTATGAAGGTGAATATGGATTAAATTCAACATGCCTAACATCTCTCTTCATTATGCTCTTTAATTGAAAAGTTAGATTATTGTAAACAGACCTCTTAAAAACATATTTATTGAATGTTTAAATATTTATTAACCAAATAAAAAGTGTTTCTATTAGAGCATCATGAAGAAAAAAAATACAAAAACAGTCTTGTACCACATCGTGTCTACCACCAGTGACGTAGCTAGAGCTTTTGCCCCCCAGGGCAGTCCCTGCATTTGCCACCCCTCTCAGCCCGGCCTCATTACTAAGGCAATGCCATGCTGTGTGGCATTCTCCAGAGCCTGTGGGCCAGACAGAGGTATTGGCAGAGCTTGGTCACACTACCTGAATTGATCAGCAGGAGAGGAGCACTGTGTCCTTCCTTCCAGCCAGTCACTTGGAAATTTGCGCCCCTCAGGCCAGTGTGCCCTAAGGCGGTGCCCATTCCGCCTTTTGATAGCGCTGAACTGGCCAAGTGGCCAGACCACATACACAGATACACATACACACTGGCACACAGGTACACTGATATAGGTATACAAACCCAACAGACATACAGGTACACATACACGGACAATGACACACAAGTACACACACACAGTCATACAGGCAAACAGACATACAGGTACAAATACATACTGACACAGAGTTATGTACAGCCACATATGCACACAGAGGCAGGTACACATACACACACATATATATATATATATATATATATATATATATATATACACTTCCGGTTCACAACAACACCTGGAAAGTCGATCCCACACTGACATCTACGGTCACACTAGCCAACCATTGCTGTCGGTATTTACTTACCATTACCACCAGGTAAATGAACTACTGCATCTACCACAGCCATGCCAGGGCCCCTCTGGCAACCAGCATCCATTCGGGAACTCAGGAGTCTGCTTCAGCCGGGCATTACCACTCCTCCTGCTCCACAGCTGCCACTGGGTGCACACTGCCGACCTATTATTGCACAGCTACTTCTGGGTCGCTCTCCTGCTTCCACAATTAGCGTGTCACCATATGCATGGTACCCTCGGCACGAGCTGACCATTCACATGTTTCTTTCATCAACGAAACTCTCGATTTCACTATTTCATGGCCGACCATTTAGTCAAACCCATCAAACTGACCGCACTGCCACATGCTGCCCTCTAGCGGCATCCAAGTAAATTACTCCGCTCGGTCAATATTATAATAATTCGGTCCATTTCTCCTGTGTGTCACCTATTTCCGTCCCACAGAGTCTATTTTGGCTATTATATATATATATATATATATATATATATATATATATATATATATATATATATATATATATATATATAGACATTTAAACAATATGTAAAAAAATGTTTAATATATAAAAAACTATTTACATATTTTACCACTCTCCTGTTTCCTTACTTTTTGGATCATAAGGGTGGTTTCCTGGGTCCAGTGGGAGCTGGCTTACTTAGGCTGATGGGAGTCTGAGACTCCAGGCTTTCTCATTCCCTCTTCATCTATTCCGTTTTTGTACTTCCCTCTCCTACCCACTTGGAGTAAGTGATCTAAACTCACATCCCAGTAGGCAATGGGGGAACTCACAGAATGACATTGACCCTGTCAAGTGCATTATTTAACGGTTGTAGCCCCTGATTACCTCAAAACAATATCTGGGCTGCAAGTCCTGGTCCCAGATGCTGCAGAGATGCCCTCAAAAAAGTGCCACCCAGGGTTTATTGTCCCCTCTATCTACACCAATGAATACAACATCTAACAAAAATCAAAAGCTCCATATTCCTAATAATCATCTGCTAAGATTTTATATAATCAAGAGAATAAAAACTACTCATATGCAACGGGGAAGATTTTTTGGGGATTTGCCTGAAAAACAAACAAAAAAAAGCATACATACAAAAGTAGAAAGCACTTTTTTGACTCTGATACAGAAGACGTGATATACATAGGCTCAAGAATTACCCTTATAAAACTAGGTGAGGACTTACTGTGAGATCTCAGACATTTCCTGCCTAGAGAAGACAATAATGGCAAAGGATCAGCATCTTGATGGTTTGCTAAAACAGATAAATGTTGAGAAGGTAGTATATTAATACATAACAGAGTAGTGGGTAAATCCACCTTAGAGTAACTTTTTACTCTCAATTACTAATTATTTAGATTTTTTTTATGTTAAAAGTTACAATAAGTACATTTACTAAATGAAAGAGGTATTGCATATAAAACACACATATTTACATATCTGTAAAATATTCACAGCTGTATACTATATATAAGAAGGTGGAGCCTGAAGTTGTGGGAGGGGTTACCCAGCTATTAAAACCCAGGACCCCTACACCACAGGGCTGATGCCGCTGGGTTCATTGAGAACTTCGGGTTCACACACACCTGGAAAGTCGATCCCACACTGACATCTACGGTCACACTAGCCAACCATTGCTGTCGGTATTTACTTACCATTACCACCAGGTAATTTAATTACTGCATCTACCACAGTCACCCCAGGGCCCCTCTGGCAACCAGCATCCATTCGGGAACTCGGGAGTCTGCTTCAGCTGGGCATTACCGCTCCTCCTGCTCTACAGCCGCCACAGGGCGCACACTGCCGACCTATTACTGCACAACTACTTCCGGGTCGCTTCTCCTGCTTCTATTTCCAGATGAGTCTTCCAAAAGGGGCAAATACACCCAATTAGCCTATCATCATATGCATGGTACCCTCGGCACGAGCTGACCATTCACATGTTTCTTTCCTCAACGAGACCCCTGTTACTCTCGATTTCACTCGTTTGGTGGCCGACCATTCAGTCGAACCCATCAAACTTACATAACAGTTGAGTGGCGTAGACGTGTATATATATATATATATATATATATATGCATAGACGTGTATACAGAAAGATATGTCACTCAGCTGTTATGTTACACCGATCATGTCTCCACTTTTAATGTTGTCACTAACTACCTGTACTTATACGCACATATTAAGTAGTCCTCTTATTTTCCCCATAAATTAGGTTGTCCATTCTGTCCATGCTGATTTCATCAGCCAATTACGGCCTATATACTCTCTCTAACTGAACATCTTTCTCTCAGAACTGGGGAAACGTAAGTCTGCAATTTTCCTATTATACATGCTATGTCACATCCTCATGCTTTGTTTGTCACTACTCATGTCAATGGTAATTTATAGCCATCAATTCTAAGTAATCTACCACTTCTATATGTACTTTGCATTACTCATGCATCCCTAATTGTGTTGGTCAAGTTACACTCCTGGGTCATCAAATAACAATAATGTCTATACCTCAAACTAGGTGATAGTCTATGTTGCAAACTTTCATACTATCTGCGCTGCCACAGGATCCACCCGCTGCCACTTTTCAGGTACATAACTTTTCTATTTATTGCGTCTGCCAGTTGCTACATGGACGCATTCATCCTCACCCCAGAGGGCCGCCTGTTCTTAGTAGCACTCTCACATTTTCCTTACCAGTCTTTTTAACAGCATGTTACTTCATACATATATATATATATATATGAATGATCTGGCCCGTCCATATTATCCCATATTCTCCTTAGGTGCTCCAGTAAATATATTTCAGTCTTTTTCACATCCAGCAGTTTCTATGGAAACTAGGTACGTTTCCCTTGAACCCAGGGCAATTCAAGCCCACACCCCAACTCCCCCACCCCTCCCTCTTCTCTTGCCCTCTCTTTTTATCACTGGTATGGCTAGTTTAACTAGCTGTATCATCATCAATGGCCTTAAATAGTCATAACTTAAATGAATCCAGTAAGGCCTACACCCATCCTTAATCGGCCCAATACGTAGATAACGCCTCACACCAACCTCTACATGTATTATTAGGGCCTCACCAGTCGTGCCCCCTCTCATAGTGTCCTTTGCGGTCAACGAGAGGCCAACACTCCCACCACATCTACAAGTGGTTCCTGCCCAACGGCCCAATTCATAGGTAGAGCCTTTTAAAGCCACTTGGCACTAGCAGGGCCTCATCTACCTTGTATGCGAGGTAATTTTCTCGTATTAAGCTTCAGCTAGAAGCCAGTTGGAATAAGTCAATTATGCCAGAGAATCAGGACTCACCATAACATCTTGTATTGTAGAATGTCGCAAGTCCCGGAACATGATGAGGAACTCTCATGGCACACTAGCCAGACCCCTCACCCCACCTGGACCCAATACTCCTATAGAGCAACTAGAATCGGCCAGCCTTGACTCTCTCCGTACATGCACTATCCCGAAACTTGCCAGCGAATTGAAACATTTAGGTATTCCCTTTTCAGCCACTGCTCGTAAAGCTGAACTGTGTCACCTAATAACTACTAGTTCTGGCACACCTCAGCCATGTACTACAGTAATGCCATCCAATGCAGACAACTTTAAGTTAAGAACATGGTGATAGCTCTGCTCGCTTCCATCAATAACATTAGCGTTAGACTAGAGAAACTGGAGAATCCACAGGCACCGTTACCCACCCATGCCACAGAGCTCCTCACCCCCTCTCCTTCACATAGTAATGTCATGAATTTTGACCCCACTTCTGGCACTTCAACTCACACAATCACTCCCGCGCCCCTAGTACCCCCAACCATTCCTATGGACATTCTGGAAGGCAAGGATGTGAATTTGATTTCCCTACTAATTGCCTCCTAGGATGTCGTGGAGAACAAATCATTTAACTACGGAGATCTGTCAGTCGTATTAAAGGCCAGAGACCCCAGCCTAAATCTCAAACTCACTATCCCTGAATTTGTACTCACTTTCGGACTATACCGTGACATAATATATATAGACCTGTACTTGGGGGATCTGAAACACAAATACAGGGGTTTTGCATTCTATGACTACCACAACTCTTTTTTGGCCAAAGCAGCAGTGTCCCTGGCACAATTCAATTTTCACACTAACTGGAGTAAGCTTGACACTGAACTATTCTGTTGCCACTTTGCTGGAATAAAACCCGCCTTGTGGACCATATGAGCCTCCGTCTTTCTCTCCACCAACTTGTGTCCAGTGGATCCAAGTCTTCCCACCACCATTCGTGTACCCTTCGGTTCTCAAAGACAAATTGGGCAGACCTATAATATATCTAGGGAAAGCACAGATCTGCAACAATTTCAATTCAGGCAGTTGAGGATTTAGCTTGTGCAGATTGCTGCATGTCTGCTCAATTTGTTATATGGCTCATACCAAAACCATGTGCCCTAACCGTCTGTATCCAAAGCAATGACTGACCGAAGTTAACATAGACAACCTGGCATACTCTCTCCTGACACACCCTTCTTTCCACTTAGTTGACTTCTTAGTACAGGGTTTCATTAAAGGTTTCCACACAGGAAACGCAGTTAAATGCTTTACAGACAACAGGGCTGTAAGTGACATCCTAAATAAAGGCAGATCCTCTTCCCTCATCATCATGAGACTCATCAGACATCTCACATGCCTGGCAGCCACGTTACATTTTAACATTACATGCATTCACATACCCGGACACACCAACATATCAGCTGATGCTCTATCTCGCTCAAAATTTCAGAAGTTCTTGGAAGCCCACCCGATGGCCGACATAGTTCGGGTCCCGACTCCCTCATTCCAAGACCTAATCCTGGATTAGTCCATCTAATGGCACACGGCAGATTCCTGGCTAGCTCTACCCTCTCAGTCAACACCTCAAAAGCATACAATAGGGCGTTTGCCATTTACACCGAGTTTACATCCGACTATAAAATTACAGACATACATTCACTGAATTCTATAGTGGCATTCATCTTCTTTTCTCACCTCAATTTAAAACTCTCTTTCAACACCATAAAACATTACCTCACTGGAATACAACACCATATCTTAAGTGCCTATCCTAGTAAAACAATTCATGTCCTCTTACCCTGTGAAGAAAATTCTCAGAGGTATTCAATGTCTTGATAACACCACGACAGCAAAAAGACAACCCATAGACGGTCCCAAATTCAAGGCACTATTCGACTTGCTAGACACTAAACCAAATACGAACCTCACCATTAAGACCGGAGCTTACCTGGCATTTTACAGGTTCTTACGACCTAACGAATTTACTATCGATAATACCACATCCAGCCAGGATTACCTTAAAATATCTAATCTAAACAAACACTAAGAATATACTTT